AGAATTGGGGCTGTTCCTTGGGAAAAGAGAAAGTACAAGGGGGACAAGGGGAAAAGGGACGGGAGAAAGAAAATGCATCACTGGTGTGTGTGTGTGTGTGTGGAAGGGGGTGGAGGTAAAGACTTCCAAAGTTGGACTGTAATCTATCATTATATCTATCTCATCTAATCTATCTTCTATTTCTATCCTATCTATCTAATCTTTCTATTTCTATCCTTCCATCCTTCCATCCATCCATTTACCTATCATCTATCACTACCTAATCTATCTTCTATTTCTATTTCCTATCTCTATATCTTCCTATTTCTTGGGAACAATATGAAGATCTGCTATTGCATTCTTCTAGAAATTTTGGGCTTCCCAGTCTAATTACAGTCCTGGGATATCCTGGTGCTCCCCATCTATGTACCTGCTTAGCTCTTCAGGATCAGTCAAAATTGGGTTGGAGGGCTAAATCATTGTTTGGACTCCAAGGTAAAATTGTGCTTCTTAGTACAGGTGGACACACACGTAGCACTTGTTGGCAACTCAAACTAAATGTCTTTTCCCAGGATCACATGACTGTTGCTGACAGACAGATGATGTCAACATCCCTGTGTACTTCAAAGCCCCTTTCCCTCTCCAAGTCTACAGCATCACATAGCTTTACTGACTTTGTGCTTCTACCTGCTGTTATAGATCAAGTCTTCTTCAAGTTGTCACCTGGGTGACGTGAAAAATCCATGTAGTTTTCTTGGCAACAATATTGAAGTAGTTTGCCCCTTGCCTTCTTCCTGGAAGGTCTCCGTCTATTGACAGCCTGGGAATTTACCTGGTGATCTCCCATTCAAGTACCAACCAGGTTGATCCTGCTCAACTTTTGGGGAATCAACCAAGAACACCTAAGTGGTGTTGAAAAGGGTGTTCTCTCACTCTCGTGTGGTCCTGATTAAAATCTTCCCTTGGCCTCAAGGATTACATTCCTTCCATGTGCCCGTTTCAATCCCACAACTGACTGTTGCAATTTCCATTGTAAAGAAAACTGTGTATTACAAAACAAGAGGCAAATTCTATTCCTAGTTAAAAATAAGATAACAAGAAGGAAATAAGATAACAAGAAGTAAGTTAGCTTACCTTACTCCCTAATAGTTTAGGTAACTGCATGCATGCATTTCTATCTGGATTCTTGGATGACAATTCCTATCATTTTACCAAGTGATCTGTTATTTTGCGTATCCTGGGGATATACATGTTTTTAAAGAGGTCCAAAAAATTAATTTCCACCCTTTAGATACTTTAATCCATCTGTATTTTACTTGTCTTGCCTTGGAAGGAAAGCTTAACCACCCTCTATAGCAGTGTTTCTCAACCTTGGCAACTTTAAGATGTGTGGACTTCAGCTCCCAGAATTTCCCAGCTGGCATGATGGTGGCAACATTGTCTGTGTGTGTGTGTGTGTGCGCGCACGCGCGTGTGTGCGTGTGATTTTCATGCAGTATTTTTCTCCCTTCACTCAATGGCTTGAATATTTTCAGATTTACTTCGAGATGGTTTTGGATCACATCCCTTCTTCCAGTGTTTAGTAGCAGAGGTATCAACAGAAAATGTAATGCTAGGTAAGCTCAAAGGTATGATTTTAGCTGGTGAAACAAGTCCAACTATCCTTGCAGGATGGAAGGTACCTACTCATGGCTCGCGGCATCCAAGAAATTGAACAGTCTCATCCTCTCTGTCTTACTCCAAAACTGCAGCTGGGGAGGACCAACGGCGAAAGATACTTTTTTTTTTTAATGGATTAACCAAAAAGGCTGCTCTTTGCTGTCTCAGCTCAAGTCACATTCTACTCCAAAGCCACCATCTTGCCCACAATCATAAGAAGTATTTGCATATAATGTCTTCCAAGATACTTAGCAAAACTTCAGATGATGATCACAGGCATCTAAAAGTAATATTTAGATCAATCAAGAGAAATTACCAGATTTTGCCTTAAAATCATGAGACTTCTATGAGAAGATTGAAATCTTGGGAGATTAGTGATCTCACAAGGGCTGCTGGCATACAAGTTCAACTTTTCAAAAGTCCTTCAAAAGTAATGAAAAGATAATTGGGGGGTTCCAGGGATATTATGCTGCTACCCCTGGCGCAAAGTTTAGTGAACTTCCTACCATATTTTTAATAGCTGCCTGAAATTATCTGGTTTTGAGTCCCAATTATAAAACACCTATTTTAAAGTAATTTCAACACATTTATTTTTCCATTAAGAACCTCTCTTTGTTCATCCAGAAATAGAATGGCTATATTTTACTTCTGCCTACCTTCTGCTTAATTTTCTCAATGGCCCGTGGGATGAAAAGGCAGAAAGAAAATCAATTGAACCCTTTCAATTGCAGAGGCCCATTCTGACACTTTCCTAGTTCGATGGCAAAATCTTCTGAGCCCAAGGTGAACAGAGCGGTGTTTCTCAAACTTAGCAATTTTAAGATGTGTGAACTTCAACTCCCAGAAGGTTGAGAAACACCGGAATACAGTGTCAAAGACAATTAGTGGTAGGGTAACAGTAATAGCAGAAAGGGCCTGGGATAGGCAGAAGTTGTTGCTTCTGGATGTAAGCTATTCCAAGTAAAGTGATTTTGTCAATGCGATGGTATTCAAGGGATGCTCCAGATGTTTTGGGATTGCTCCCAAGGTGCCGATTACTATTGGTGCTATCTTTGCTTTCTTTTGCCACGGTCATTCTACTTCTCTTTGCAGGTCTATTTTGTGTTTTTCTCCAGCTCTTTCTCTTCTCTTCTGCTGTCTCCAGGTATTGCAATGTCCACTATCCAGACTTTTTTGTCTTTATCAACAATTGTTAAGTCTGGGGTGTTGTGTGGCAGGTGCTTGTCTGTTTGAATTCTAAAGTCCCAGAGCACTTTAGCATCTCCATTTCTATGACTTTATTGGTTTTGTAGTCCCACCAGTTCTTGCTTGCAGGCAAATGGTCTTTCTTGCAGATCTTCCAATACACCATTGTTGCTGATTTGTCATGCCATTGTTTGTAGTCAGTCTGTCAATATGATGATGATGATGATGATGATGATGGTCCATTTTAATGGAAGGCTGTCCTTATTGCAATGGAGTTAGTTCTTGGATAAGTTGCTACATTAAACCTTCATACATTCACATTTCTCAAAGAAGCACTTCTATCAAAAGCTTGTAATATTAAGTTACATTAACGAATTAAAAGAAACTGAACTGTGTTTCTTTAGTCACTTGATAACCTTGCCATATTTACCTCGGGAACATGATTCCTTAAAGCATGCATAAACATAATTCTTTCTCCACAGATGCTGGTATTGTAGGTTTTGCTATGTATTACTACACCTATGACCCTTGGATTGGCAAGCTGTTATACTTAGAAGACTTTTATGTTATGGATGAATATAGAGGTAAGTAACAACCATGTTTCCTTACAGCCATTTCTAATGCAGCCAGAAAACCGGCGGCAGAACGATGATGTGGAATTAGGATATCGTAGGAGGACTGGAGAATAGTCAGGGTTGAACCCACGTTCATATCCCTACCCTGTGTTGATTACCCAGAACCCTCTCTTTGCTAGAAGGATGGAATATATAAAAAACGACCCCTTGCGTTCAGTTTTGAGACAAGTCCCTAATTGGAACAGGATCCTGGAAGACAGGAAGGAGGAAAGAAGAAACAGTAGACCACCTCACCCTGCCTCTCTGGTACGAGATAAGTAACTTCTTAGTGACCTATCCGTTCCTCGAGCAAACTGCAGAGGTGGTGATGTTTCAGAAACATGGCTGTGTTTCCATCCCATAGCTAACTTTGTGAACTGTACGTGGGGTTAGGGGCACATTGTGTGATCCAAGTTCATTTAGCGAGCTTATGGCTCAAATGATTTTTTGAATCCGAGAATGTGTTAGTATCCAATATAGATTTGTTGCACAAATGCAGTCACTCCTATTGCTCTATCAGCATGGTAGGAAGAGAAAAACTTAACAGGTTGTCTCTTTGTTGTGGACTGGTGCCATCCTGATCGACGCAGCCTAGCAGTTACATTTTTTTTTCTTTCAAGAGATCCGAAACAAAAACCAGCTAAGTACCTTTTTATAGAGATATGTGGAATAAAGCCTTTGTCTTCATGCAAATCTAGTGGGTTAGAACAAAACAGTGGAAAATTTCCCAATTCAGACAACTGAGTTTCTCAACTGTGTTTTGGCAGGCTGGGGCATTGGAACAGAACTTTTAAAAAATTTAAGTCAGGCAAGTAACCATTTAATACTTTAAGTTATATTTTAAATGTTATAGCCATCATTTTCATTCGATAGTCTACTTAATTATTGGTAAAGAGGTGATAGAAAAGTCAAAACTGAGTTAAAGCAACCTTCTCAAAATTGATTCTTTCCAGCTGAGCTGGTGGCTAACATTTCCATCTTCCTTCAGTCAACATGGCCATTTCTGAGATGGGACAACACTAATTTAGAGGACCATCAAGGAATTGCGTTCTTCAAAGCCGCAAAAGAAAGGATCCACAGAATCAGAGGCATCTGTGGGTTAAAAAATCCAAGATGGCAATGGAAACCACCATGTTGACTTTTTTGACCACCTTCACCGCTGCCCCTGCCCAGAATCTTAGCAGATAGAATCTAAATTTATTTGCAGCCAGCAGCTAAAATGATAAAACTGCTTATGAATTCCTAGACTGCAAAAAGGGGGTTTCATAACGGAATATTCCTCTATACTTACAATTTTCACGTGCAATATTGCTATTGTTAGAGAGAAAAAAATGTAGCCCAACTGTAATATCCTACAGACGCACGTGTGGAAATGCATTTATTTTTGTACCCACAACCATTCAAATCTTAACAAAATGTTTAACGACTTGATCTCATTCTGCTCAAACTGGTTGGTCCAAATAGCGTAGAGCAGTGTTTCTCAACCTCGGCAACTTTAAGATGCATGATCTTCAATTCCCAGCACTGGCTGGGGAATTCTGGGAATTGAAGTCCATGCATCTCAAAGTTGCCAAGGTCGAGAAACACTGGCTTAGAGCACTAAACAATTCAAGATCAGAGGTTCTTTGGTATAGGGCGTATCTAGAACTATAGGCTTACATAAACCTCCAGCTTTGTGTAAGCAGTTCTGAAGTGAATGCAATGACTGTTGCAAAAAAACCAGCTAATTCTAAGTTTTTTTACTGTGCCAATAAGGGTGAATAAGCAATAGGATAAATTGGCCATTTTAAATTAAGTTCTATTGGTAGAGGTTTGAGGTAGAGCTGAATTGCGCTGCGAACGTTTTCACACTTGCTCCCGAATGCAATTGTCTGCGTTTATCTCCGAACAGATTGCAATCGATTCCAACTGTAGCTGCATGCACTTTCTTGTTGTGGTTTGGAACAAGCCGTCTATTGAGTACTATATGAGGCATGGGGCGTGCGATCTTTCCACCGAAGAGGGATGGCACCTCTTCCGATTCGATAAAGAGCATCTAATCAGAATGGCTGCTGGAGAATAAAAGGAAGTCCCCCTCCCGAGGGTGAAGTGCCATCAATTCATCGGCCACAAGGAAACTTCTAGCTAAAATTGTGGTTCTAAAGCAGGCAAATACTAGCAACAGAAATTAAAAAGAGGTCTGCCTGTTTTATGACTGGCGGTAGTTTGATACATTGTTGGATTCTTGTGTTTTCCATTTGCGAGCTGGGTTGGTGTGGCATGAACCCCGACGTTTGGTTAATAAGTACACACGTCACCATCATACGGGCTCTCCTGGCTGCTAGGGGCTTCTTGACCAAAGTCAGAGGTTCACTGATATCCTGCGTCCTGGAACGCTTTGTACTCTGGGTTGAAACTGGAATTTGTAGTCAAGGCTTTCTGCAGGTTACAGGAGTTGAGTTTCTCTAAATCCCATCAGCGTCAGGTGAAGAGCCATGTGTGAGTTGAAGGAGGAGTGGAGACAGTGCAATGTGCAAGAGTGTCTGTCTGTCTGGTTTAATCTGTCATGCTAACACAACTGCCATCATTTAAGACATTCCATGGATTGCTAAGACCACTCGACTGTTTTAGCAAGTGGAGGTGAGACAAATATTCTGGGCAGAAAACCTTAGGCTTTCCTCCCAGTAGAAGAGAAAGTTGAAGTATCAGTATTTGGGGGGGCTGTGCCAATTCATGTCTGTAAGATGCTGGGCCAGAAGAATCAGGACCTTGATGTCTTCACCCATTGTTATAGTTGTGCAATGATGCTTCTACGGTATAGCCGCTTGGACAACTGAGGTTAGATCATAGCACAAGCCGAAAAATTCACATTAACTTTTTCCCACTAGATCCCTTAAATTGAGACGGTCTGGGATCCAAGTAAGATGGCCATTTAATGTAATTGTATTTGTTTCACTTTACTTTTTCTCTATTTTGCTTTCAGCGTTCAGTCTAGGCGTTGAGGGCCAGGATCTCTGTTACCATATATTCTTCACACTAGTTGAAAACAACCGGTCTGATCATTCAGCACTATATAATCAGCCAAGCATCACTCTGCAGGAAGACACTGTTGGCGAAATGGCAGCATTCGGGTACTCTCATGGTTGCATCACTGACAGAACCAAAGTACTTTGGGAGAGTGCCCCTAAATAGGTATATTGGCAACATGAGATTGATCAGCAATCAATCCCACTCCATAAACATCAGGTTCCCTAAGCCTAAAATGTTGGAGGTTCCACCTCTAGACTGCCTAACAACCCTCTTTGTAAAGGAGATATGTGTAATAATATGCACGTGGAACATACTGGGGTGCTTATACTCATTAAAGTCATGCACAGAAAACTATATAGTTCATATTTTATGGGTCAAATTTGCATGATCAGTTCTATAAACTAAATATCCCTGTTCCTCATCTTTCTGCAGAGTAGTAAGACAGTACAGTCTATGTACTGTAGCCTATGAATTAGAAAGAAACGTAAAGCAAAATGTGGTTTAAATACTCTATATTGAATATCATTTCAGCTTTTGATTAGAAGCAGCACAGAATTCTTCCCACGTTATTTACATCAGTTACGAGTTTGACAGCGATAATCTCTTTAGAAGCCTTTGCCTTTCACATCAAGAGACCAATTATGCTTTCAACCATTTGAAAATAGGCAGGGGCAGCAATGAGTAGAAAAAGATGAGAATTGGACAAGAACATTGGCATAAAAACAAGAGTTAAGAAACTACCCAACTCCGTATCACCATGCAGATTGCACATTTTTAAAGTCCCATGATGAAAACTGGGGGGATATCAGCTTCTCTTACTATACAGATCTGCATCTTCTGGGTTGGCTTGGCCATGGTCCATAAGACTGGAATCTGCTTTGAACTTGGATGCCTTCAATACATCTACAAAATACAGAAAGATCTTAGGATATGCATGTCTGGAATTAGGAGGGCTTTATTTGCTATCCTACGTTTTCTCCTGTTGGCACGTCAAGCTGTACTGGTTGACAGCTACTGTTTTAATTTCTTACAATATCTCTTGTGAGGAAGAGATGGTGTGAGAATGTTTAGGAGTTCAGCTGCTAGCTTAGCTACCCAATGGAGTTCACCCCTCGTTGCCCACCATCAAGCACTCAAGGCTAGACCAAGTTAGGAAGGAACTCTGGGGAAAAATGCAAATAGAATGTGTCCTAATGGAGAAAAAACTTGTGTCAGACAGCCTTCGCTGACCAGCTGCCTTCCAAAAGTGTTTAACAACATCCTTCCGAAGTCTCTGTGAACAATCTGGGAATTACATATCCAGATAGCAGGTACCAGGTTGGGAAAGTCTGTGATGGCAATTAGAACCTCTTACCTGATCTGACATTTAGCACCTTCATTTCATCCATCAAAGTCTCATAATCTTTGTGCATGTTTGTTCTCCCTTTCTGCCTCTGTTCCTCTGGTGCTTCTGCTTTACCCTCTGACTCCAGGGAGGCCTTCTGAGCTTTTGGGAGGCTGTGACTTATTTTTGAAACTTCCTGTACTTGAAAAAGAGATGGAATTATAGAATATCCAGATGATGGCGTTGGTTGGCCAATTTGTCCTAATTAAACTGTTTTGACTTCCAAAGATGGAGGGATTTTAATACAAGCACTCAATAAAGGCATTTGCCAAAATATATCTGCTTTATCTTTAGCACAGAATTCTTAGGAGAAGCCATCAAATGCCAGCAAGCGAAAGAGGGAGACTTGGGCCAGATCTTAAAGCAGCTTCATGTCTGGTCACTTGTGGCAAGAAAGAATTGGCAATAAGCTATTGAAACAGGCAAATCTTTTCTCTTTGCTGAGTCTCCTAGAGATTATATTGTTTATACAATATCCTAATCAAGGCACTACCAAGGAGAAAACCACACCCCCATCAACACTGGCAGGGCAAGCTACTGCATATAAACAAAGAGCAAAACCCACCCCCACTAGCACTGATGATGTTACCTAATTGGGTGATGAAATGTCTGCAAGCAAACCACCAAGCTCAGAGAGCACCAAGGACTCCAAAGTACAGATAACTAACATTAAACCCTCTTAGGGCCTCTTTACTTTAATAATGAGCAATATAGTGATGCAGCTAATTTTATCCTTTACCCATATACAAAATGTGGGTATGTTAAAAAGTATCAAAGCTTTTGCTATTGAAAACGCTTCTTGGAAGAGGACATACCCGAGTATCTTTATCCTGGGCAATTGGGACTTCTGCGGAGGATTTTTTGGTCCAGAGTGATCCTATTGCTGTATATATTTTATGGCTTACAGCATAAACTTTGCCACCGGTAACCTGGTTTAATTTGAGAAATGTTATTCAACTGAGTGACAGAAACAAGGTGATGATCTCACTTCTTTAATGAACTGGGTAATTCAGATAATGGAAAAAAAATTCATAATTTGCATGGCAATTTATCTGAAATTCTGAACCTGATGTTTAAAAACATCAACTAGCCAACATGTTCTTAAACCGAAGGGAGGAAAGTGTTGATAGAAAAACATAAATATGAGGTTAAAAGGAGCTTACCTTTGCAACAATCACTGACTGGGCTGGATAGCAAAGAGATACACCTAGTGAGCCAAGGGCCATGGGATAGGCAATTTTCTTGAATCTAGATCCTGCAAAAAGCAAATCGTAAGTGACAATACGGAGCACAACTAATTGTAATATGAAATCTCATTGCCCATGTTCTCATAAATCACTTAACTCATTACAGAATTAACCCACTTTCCTAGGTTTACACATTATAATGAACCATGTACTGGCCAAATTGTCTAGGTTCACACATCAGGCTAACCCACCAAAAACTAACCAAGGTCAACGCTACTCAACAGTTAATTGGGGATATGCAATACACTCAGTATTCAATAGCTGTGCAGTGCTTGAGATCTGGAAGCAAAACGAAGCACGTGGTTGCACCCGTAACATTTGCTGGTGGCTCTTTAAAGCATCCACATCTTTTCCTGGGAATGTGCAGCTTTTCTCTGCAGCTGCAGTGTAATTCTGGGGGGGAAAAGTATGCTTTTGGTTGAAGGAGCTGCAGATCAATGTGCACAATAATGAGCTAGAGAGGTCGTTTAGTTAACTTAGGATTCAGTGTATTGGGACCGGTCAAAAGATTAATTTAGCCTGGAGTGAGGGTGTCCCCAGGGTATGGTCCAAAAAGTCAAGATGGAGGCCATGGCAGCGCGATCCAAGTTCTGCCCATTTTTTAATGTCCATCGCACATAAAAAATGGGCAGAGCGTCTGTCACACTATCACAGTTGCCATCTTGACTTTTTAGACTGTACCCTGCAGACACCACTGGCCTGCAGGTTAAGAATGCTGTCTGAACACAGCAACTCTAATAAATAAGATTTGCTTATTATCTGGAGTATTTTCCTTCCCCATAATTATAGTATTGTAAGAATAAGCATCCTCTTACCTTTCCTGGCTAGGACTATTCCTGTCAGTCCTGAAACTGTAATTACACCGACTTTGGGAAGAAATTCTGGAGGCGGATTCTTCAGGTAAACATATGTATCTTAAAGATAAGCAAAACAAGCATGGTTGGTTCTTACTGGATTATCACAATTTCTCCTCTTAATCTCATTTCTTATTTCCACGGTCAGAAGTTGTAATGGTCTGTGGGAATGACCGTGGGAGACAGGAGAAAGAGCCTCAGCCTAGGCAATGGTCAGATAAGAGGTGGCTGAGTCTGCAGAAGGAATGGGGGTCTGGCAATCGTCTCAGAAAGGACCCTCCCTAATTTCTTGGACTGTGAAGGCGAGCGGGGAGAAATGTCCTTTCACACTTGCCTTTCAAGATTCTGTTAATCTAACCTTGCGGTAAAGTAAGAGCTAGTACTTTTGGGTGTGCTTCCTGTCTGGTCTACCTCGCAAGGCTGGCAGAAGTACACAAAGCATAATAAGGGGCAAAGTGCCCTATGGACATACCTACCTTTTCCAAACTGCAGTGAAGCGATTACTCCATTTTTGACAAAGAGGTAAGCGTCCTGAATAAACAAACAAAAGACCATTTTCTACCAATGTAAGAAAAAAAAAATCGCATCGACAAATATGAATGCAACTTAATAGAAAGAAGAAACAGCCAAAAAACTCTTCTTTTACGTAATATGTAAACCTACCCCAGTGTAAGTGATCTGCAGTTAGAAAATGACACATAGAAAGGATAACAAAAGGATGAGAAACTGTCTTCACGTAAGGGCTGCCCTTATATATTGGCAGCCCTCAGTCTGATGCAAGTTGCTACTTTTGTGGGACGACATCGGCGTGCACAAATCATTGGTCCCCCTTGTTGTCCCACAGGTACCCATGGACAGAATGGGCTACACAACATTACTTAATGCAGATGTGTTGGGACCACAACTCCCTGAACTTCCAGCCCACAAAGTCAAAAGTTGACAAAATCAAAGAATAAACAACAAAAAGTTGGTAAGAACCTTCCTTATTATTTTGGACATCAGAGTGTGTATATACATGTGTGTGTGTGCACACGCGTGTGTGTTTATTAGATTTATTCATACCACAACCCAGGCTCTCAGCAATTAACGATAACCATATGGTAATCATATATGTACATTCTCTCTCTCTCATCAGTTTCTATCACAGTTTGGCAAGGTAAGAATCTAAACATAATTTTGAGTTTACCCCACAAGATGTCACTACCCAGCAAGCTTAGGAATGTCACGAAAATAAGAGGGCGAATTGATAGGGGGGGGGGGGGGGAGTCAAGGGAAACTGTGGCAGGGAATTATTTGAGAATGTCTCCATTCCCAAGGGAGAGACCTATGTGCAAAAATCCAACAAGCTGTAAGAGCTGTGACCAAGATATGTTGAGTCTGCATCTCCCAGGCTATTCTGATTTCCAACATGGTTTTTCTTCTCTCCTTCAACAGGGTTGTGACTTAATCTTCTGAAATACATTACTTCTGTTCCTAAAACAATTGTAGAAGCCAGATTGCGTTCTTACCTTGCATCCCTTTAGGTAATGACTTGTTGTCTTTCTTACTGATGAAATCCTGGTCTGCAGCTGGCCAGGCTTTTCATCAACATACCGAGATTCCAGAGGTGGGGCACTGTAAATAGGAAGCTGCAGAGAAGGGGGGGGGGTTGGTGACAATAGGCTTGCCTGGAGAAACGAAAACGGAGCCAAACTCCCTTCTTACCTTAACAGTGCTATTCCTTTGCTCCCACCCAACAAAAATTGCCCATGAGGTTGTTGACTAGAATCAATGGGATTGGTGCTCCACCACACAGTGGCCACAGTTGTTGTGATCCAATGGCTCAAAGGATGTGCCCAAACCTGCCTGTCTACCTGGTGATATTAAGGGCTCTTCCATATCACCCCCCCCTCCCCTTCCCAAAGCGATCCACTGTTTTCCTCACCACCAGCCTGGGAATAAGGAATGTCAATCACTGAGCCACCCTGATCTGCTACAAGTCCATCAAGTCAACTCTAAAAAAAGAAATCGCCAGCAAACCTCCCCTTTCTTTCTTTCCATTGTGTGCACTGATCTGGTTTTGTGGGGGGAAAAAACTCCAGAGTGGTTGAGCTGCAAAGCCATCAAGCCATTATTCTCCCAAGAAGGCCCTGGAACCCCGGAGTTTGGAGGTGGGGTGGGGCAGGAGCTCCCCCAAAGAGGAAACAGTATCAGTGTGGCTCTCTGGGATTCAGAGCTGCTCTCAAGCAGGAGTGAAATCCCTGTATGGAGGTAACCTGCCTCATCTCTAGATATATGGAGTTTCTCTCTCAGAATTCTCAGCTACAGCCATTGCTAGCTGGGGAATTCTGGGAGCTGGAGTCCATATGCGGAGAATAACGAAGGCTGGATTAAATCAGATTTTGTTTGATCATAAACCATGACAAACTCAACCCAAACCAAACAGATGGAAACCAAACCAAGCAGGTGGAAATATTATATATTTACTTTTGGTTATCATTTCTACTACTCTCTTTGGGGTGCTATATAATGGTCTGTGATGCATAATCTTTTATCCTTTTGTTTTAATGTAATCCCAAGTTTCCATGCTACTATACAAGCCCTTTTCCTTGAAATATAATCTCCAGAGGAAAAGCTTCCATACGCGATGAGAAGCCCACAGAGATCATACAAATCTTACCTGATGTGCTTTAATTCGGTGGGATTTCTGTTCTTCTTCAGCTGAGGCAAGCCTGTTAGTGGAAGTCCATGCTAGGGCTGTAGGAAGGGCCGCCCATTTGGTGACCTGGTGTCATGAGCAGAAGTCAAGAGAAATCAAGGAACAACTTGAATGGCTCCAGCAAAGGCAGCTTTTGTTCCTCAACATTCATTCTAACTTCAAGAAAACTGTCATGCTCACATCTCTCTTTAAGCTAGCAATCCTGGCTTAATCACGATGTGATTAGGAAGCTGACTGCTTCTGCTTGTTTCTTCCTTTTACAACAGCAGGTAAGGAAACCAACTTAGTCTCATGTTACATTCAAATTGAGGATTGCAATTAAGAAAGCAAAGACTAAAACAGGGAACTAACAGGGAACTAAAATCCTCCACAAAAATAAAACTGGTCAGCCAAAACGACAGAAGCCCAAAAATTCTGAGTGGAAGGTTTGCTGGAAACTAACAATGATGAGTCTAATCTAAGCCTCCAAAAAGTACTGTGATGCTCGCTGGGGAATTCTGGGAGTTGAAGTCCACACATCTTAAAGATGCCATGTTTGAAAAACACTATTTTAGACTGTATCATGAACACTCTTAACAGCCGCCCCTTAAAGCAGTGGTTCTTAAGCTGTTTGACCCAACTACCCCTTCTCCCGATCTCAAATGGTCATTATCCCCCCACCCCAAAAATCTCTCATTCTACACAAACATTTCAGCATCAGCAGTCCCAAACTGGATCCTTGATTCACAAGCAAGCAATTACAAATTGCTCCATTACCCTGGGGGACAATTACCCCCAGTTTAAGAACCACCGACTTACAGACTGGAAGCTGTGCAACTGATCCACGGCACGTAGAATATTAAGTATGGCACAATAGAGAGCACGCCAAACACCACGTTTGGCACTAGCCGCAGTTTCTGAACACTTTTCAAGGATCACCAGTCTGTCGCAGTAGTCTAAGTAGAAAAATGATGGAGCCATGCCTCACTGTGGCCAACTCCCTCTTTGTGGCTGCATTCTACTACAGTAGTTGGACTCCAGCCCTACCCAGTTCTACTAATGCTTCTCTTATCCTTCGTTCCTTATGCAATGTGCTTAACCTTGTTACCAATCCTCCCAGCTTGCACAATGCATGAAACAATCGGCTAGACACAAATAAGACCATGAACCGTGAACACACAAAAAAGCAAAGTTTAACACTAGCCACGCTTTGCCCATTGGGCAAATGCATCTGACCCAGTTAAGGGCATGCATGATGTAGCCACCTGTGAAGAAATTAGCTACTGGAGAAAAAGGAACAGGGAATTAAGACAAACCCATTTACTGTGTTGGAAGAACAGGCTAGGGAGTTGAGTTCTGAAGCAAAATGGGTGGGGAAAGGTTTATTTTTTTTAAAAAAAGTCAAATTACAAATGTAAAATGGCATGGATGGATCGGATATACACTGGGATTATCAGATGTGTAAAGTTTTAAGAAGAAAAAAAGGGTAAAGGAAGTAGGAAGGACGGTACATTGGATTTAATGGGAAGATCCCCTTTCTATGTTGGAGAAATATGATGATAAATGAAGGCATTGTTTATTTATTTATTTGCTAGACCTAGATCCCACTTTCATATAGGAGATTAAGGTAGCATGCGTGGTGGTCCCTAATCCTGTTTTTTCCCAATATCCCAGTGACGTAGGTTGAAGTGAGATAGTGGGTAGCCCAAAATCACGCAGGAAGTTTCCACCTTCAAGTTTTGGGTCTCCTCAAGACCAGGCCAACATCTTAACTATGACATTACACTGGCTCTTCAGTGAGCATCTTTAATGGGCCTCCCCTTCCGCTTGGTCCCTATACATACAGGTATTTTTCTTCCTTGTGTGAAGGAACCCAAGAATTGCTTTGATCTGTACACAGAAGTTAACAGAAAGACTGAACTTTGCATTTTAGCAACAGCGCACTGGGACAGGCGCCCAAGAAACTAGTCCTTCTTGGTTTCTCCTCCACCTTTGTCAGAGAGAACTTACACAATAGTTTTTACAAAAGAAATGTGTTCAGCACAAGCATCAAAAGGCAATCCACACATTAACACTCTGTAGGAAAAAGAAGCCTTTATTTTCATCCACTTTTATGGCAAAATAACTTTTTGGGGCAGGGCTCCTTAGAAACAAGTTTGGAAACTTCAACACTGGTTTGGTGAGTGGTGAGAAGGTTTTTTCCTCTCTTGTTAGTTCAGCAAGCCACCCTTTTTTATAGCGCATTTTCAGTATTACTTACAGGGCTAGGAATTGCAGCGTGACTGCTGGAATTAGCTCAGTCTAGGAATGACACTAATTGCTTTGGGATGTCTATTGAAAGCAACTGGCAGTGACTAACAAAATGCTCCTGTAATACATTTCACTGCCCAGTAATTATTTTGAAGCAATGATCTTAATAAAGATTGATTCAAAAAAATATCCTATTAAAATCACAAGACTCAGCCAGCTCCTGTCTCGAGGAGGAGGCATATTTTAGGCCAGGATAAAAACTGAGGTTATTTGATTAACTTTAATTGTCTCTCAGATTAAATTAAGTTGATACAATTAAATAATGCTCCTGGTGATCAATGTTTAAATTACAATTCAGCAACAACAGCGGAAGTTTTGCAAGCTGCAAAGTGTAACAGAGTTATACTTCCAGTTTTGAAATCAGGTAAGTTAGATGGGGAAGTCAAAGAACATCTTGAAAAGTATCACTGACAAGCCACTTTCCTGGGATGGCCAAGAAAACAACATGGATATCTAAGTTGGACAAGCAGGAGACTTGCCTTGTTGTAGGCAAGCCCATAAAATGACTGCCGGGAGGTGCGTGTGCAAGCTGCCTTTTACAAAACACCCACCATGATAGACACACATTATCCAAGTTAGGTTTCTGAGTTTGTCCCTTCATATTCCCTCCTGCCAATGGTGACGTAATCACTGGAGTTTACTGACCACCTTACAGATACTTAGCACGTTTACTGTATTTTCTAAAAATGCCACGTGTTCCAGAGGCATTCTCAGAAATCAAAATTACACTCAAAGCTAGCGTTTGGCTTTGGAGCACACCAGCTTCCCATTTATTTATTTTTGATTTAAATCATTTAACAGGAAGGAAACATCAGGTGAGAGAGCAAGACTCGAAGCGGTCTATGGCCACCAAGTTGCCTACGCCATCCCATTATTATTATTCTACTATTGTCATGGCAACTTGAAGGATGTCACATAAGTATTATAACATCAGCTGTATTTTACTTTGATCTGTCATTTTATTTTAGATTTCCGAGAAACTCTGGAAGCATTTGTAATGAGCGCTGTGACTGACACGCATTTAAAGGCACCCGTGATTCTCTTTTGCCTCTGCTGGCATGAAACCAAGTGATTAACGAAGAGGATGCGTCTTTCACCAGGAAAAAAAAAAAGTTTGTATTCCTGAAATATACCTCGTGTCTTGTTACACATAAGCAGCAGCTGAAATCGACTAACATTTAAACAAATAACCTGGTAAACTGCTTCTTTGAGAAAAGGTTCAGAAGGAGAAGAATACCCAAGAGGATTCAAAAAACAGGATGGCATCCCTATCCCTGAAAATATCAACTCGTGGAGTATTGATCCAAGAATGCCCATACTCCTTTTCTGAGTTTTAAAACAAATTAGCGAAATAGGGCTTTAGTTTGACACATGGCTCAACAAGTCACGGATACAGGGCAGAAACAGTTGTCTTTGCATAATAAGACATGAATTATTAAAAGATCCCTCCGCTCCAGGCTTGTCAAAACAGACATAGCCCAGCTAGAGGAAAGCTGCAGAAAAAAGCTCCTAGAATGACAAGGCGCTAATTAACACAGCAACTCGGGGATGATGGTGTTATATCATCAATACTGGTTGTGAGAGGCCACGCTTGAAAAAAAGTCCACAGAGTTTTGTACTTTTCGTGCAATGGCCATATGGCCTCATCTTACATTCTACCAAATGTATCTGATGCAACTGATCCACACATCAGATTGTAATCTCAATTTTAAAAGCAACTTGCACCAATCTGGGAGTTGAAGTCCACCCATCTTAAAGTTGCTGAGGTCTAAGAGGAGGTTTCCACAAGCAATGAGAGTTTGCTGGCCTCACAACGTTGCCCAGCCTGGGGTCTTCCAGCCATGCTCCACGACAACGCCCACGGCCAAGTTGGGGATGATGGGTTGTGTAATCGGGAAAGCACCAGGCTGGGGAAGGCTGTGCCGGGACACGGCTCTTCTTGGGGAGGAAAGTTGGCACCTTGTTACAGGCATGCTAACTCCACAGAGCCAGCCCCTCCCTCACTCCTGGCACCTTCAGGAATCTCAGAAACATCTCAAGGATGGTGGGTTACAGCAGGGGACGGCTCCGGTGGGGTTTCGCAGTGGAAGGGCACTCTGCACACGCTCCGCTGCCTAGCACCGTCATGAACACCCAAGCTCACGCAAAGCCTAAATGTTCACCTTGCCACCCTGACAGGGAGAGGCTGGGCAAGAACCATCCACGGAGCCCAGCTTGGGACAGGGTGCAAAGGAACGACCTTGGCCCAAGATTTCCAACGGCACCACCACCCTTCCTCCTTGCTCTGCCACTCCAGTTTCTTTCACATTCCCACCGCAGTCTCCTCCGAGGCAGAGGGGGCGACTCAAGGGCACAGGGCTGCTCCCTCTGCACATGCTCAGAAGTCCACTCGCCTTTTCCACACACCCACTCCCCTTTCTGCCTCTTTTCCGGGCCAAATCTCCAACTCTGTGACTGGCGGGAGAGAAGAGAAAAGATCCGAAAGAGGCCCCACGGGCTGGCTCAGACCCCGCAGGAAAGGGGTATTCTGCACATGCTCAGGCGCCCTCTGCTGCCCAGAGCCACTCCTTCAATTGGAAAGCAGGAAGGGGCTCCCCTAACGCTGGGAGGCCCCGCCGTGGATCCCGAGAGGAGGGAAGGAGGAAGAGAAAGGGGTTTCAAGCAGCCTCGCCCGCCCCCGGAGCTGGACACCGGGGAGGCGCGACGGAGCCACTCACCTTGTCCGCCATTTTGGCTCCACCTCTTCCTCGAGCCGCGGGGGAGGCGCCCAACCCGGAAGGGGGCGGAGCGATAGAGAAGCTAGTCTAGGATTGGTGGAGCGGAGAAGCGGCGTCAGGGTGACGTCACCCGGAGTTCCCATCCCGTGGCTTCGCGGCAGAGCTCCCCGCGCAGGACTACAACTCCCATGATCCCCAGAAAGCGTGGTTCAACCGCTATGGGAAGGAAAAGAAACGAGAGGGGAGCATATGGGGTGCTCCGAGAACGGATGCTCTTTTATAACTGTAGGACTAAAACAGTATTTTTCAAACTTGGCAACTTTAAGATGGGTGGACTTCAACTCCCAGAATTCCCCAGCCAGCATGCTGGCTGGGGAATTCTGGGAGTTGGAGTCCACCCCTCTTAAAGTTGCCAAGTTTGAAAAACACTGGGCTAAAATAAAGTCCCAATTTGTGGTATTTGGGGTGAAAGCGAATATGGGTTCTGTTGGTGGTTCCCGTCTTGGTTTCTCAGCCTTGTTAGACTACAGCTCCCATCATGCTCCTGCAGGTCATGGGTGCTGTAGTCCGATGTTGCTTAAAGTGTGGTCCCAGGACCTCGAGGGGGTTCCCCCAAAACCATCTCAGGGACCCCCGAAATCAAAACTCTTTGCCGGATATTTAAGATATTGGCAAAAATGTAAAACTATGTCACTCTTCTCATGATTATTTTTATTCATTAAAAAAATAGTTCTTTTTCATGAAAAATATTTCATTGAGGTTAATATCTAATGGGTTTAATATTGTCATTTTTACATGACTCAATAAATAAATATTTTATGAATGCGTCCATTTTCATTTTTAACATGGTAAATATCGAGAAATATAACCCATACAAACAAAAGCTCTTCCCGGGTTGTCCATAATTTTTAAAAAGCGGGAAAGGGTCCTGAGAGCAAAAAGTTTAAGAAACACTGCTCTAGTCCAACCCCTGGGGATCTAAACTTAGGAACTACTGGCTTAGTCACCAACTTTAGCCCAAAGCTACATGGCAGGCAGAAATCCAGAAAGGGGCAGACCTTGAGCTGGCATAGCGATGTAAGGAAAGCCGGAATGGTCGGGAAGAGGAAAAAGCAGATTGGCCCAGTCTCTACCCACCAGGCTCTTTAGATCTCAGTTCCAATCACCCCTTTTTAGAAAGTTAATGCAGATTGGCAGCGATTATTATTATTATTTAATACGAGGAATATTAAAGAAACAAACACCCACCCACCCCAGCCTGAACGGACAGTCTATTCTTCCACCTTTGTCAGAAACTTTGTCTTCTTATTCTGCTGCTGCAAGTTTAGATTAGTATTATCGATCAGCGGTTCTCAAACATTTTGGTCACAGGAGCCCTTTATCTTCTTAAAAATGATTGAGGACCCCAAAGGGCTTTGGTTTATGTGGGTTATATCTATCAATATTTACTGGGTTAGAAATTAAAACTTAGAAATTTGGAGTCTGGAGTTCTCTGAGCTTGGTTGTTTTCTTGCAAACACTTCATTACCTGGCTAGGACTGAAGATGTTACCTAGCCAGGTAACGAAACGTTTACAAGAAAACAGCCAAGCTCAGAGAACTCCAAGGACTCCACAGTTCAACCCTGAGCTACAGATATTCTTTTTTATTGGTACTCAGAAATTTTAAAATATTTATTTGTTCGAGTTCACAGAGCCCATGAAAGGGTCTTGGAGATCTCCAGGGGTCCCTAGACCACACTTTAAGAACCATTGTTCTAGATTATTCTCCATAAAGTGCAAGGTATAAAAAAGATGGACATGCATAAGAAGGAACAGACTTATATTCTGCTCTACAGCAAGAGTGGATAAGTTGAGCCTGACGCATGATTTTTTGCAAGTCAGTGGAGATTTCTTGGCAATCCTACCAAAGTCATTTACCAATGCCATCTTCCAAGACATTCTCTCCACTTCATACTTGCAGCCCTGAAATTACCTAGTGGTCTCCCATCCAAGTACCAACCACATCTGATCCTGCTTAGCTTTTTAGAATCAACCTAGGTCAGCTGATTGCTGCCAGGCATAGCTTACAAGTATGAGGTCTGTACCCCTGAGCCCCTAACTGCTTTTTGATGTTAGTTTTCTTCTATTTTTGGTAGGAAACATGAACTTGGGTGTCTACTTCACATAAGCTTGACCCATCTGAACAATTAAAAAAAGGAAAAACTCAGTCCTCTCCCCACAAAATAGAAAATGCCATCCTTATCAATGTGCACATATGGCATAGCCTACCCATTTGGCATCACTGCTGTGCCCAGTGGAGATCTTTGCTCTCCTGAAACTGTTAATTGGGCCCCTCTGCTACTAATAGGTGACAGAATTGGCTTCAGTGGTTGGAAAATGCATTAATCCTGCTTGAAAGAAGAGATGATCCAACTTGCCCTGTCTCTGAATTGTTGCTATTCCAGCACTCGCCATGTCCCAAAGTCAGTTCAGAGTGAGAATTAACAGTTCTCACCTTCCTTCCAAATGGATTAACAGTTGTAACCTGTGATACTCAGACACGTACATAACTGTAGAGGAAATCTGTTAAAGATTTGAAAACTTACTCATTTGCAGTGTCAAATTTAGACTTGGTGAGGCCCTAAGCTGGTGTTTCTGAACCTTGGCAACTTTAAGATGGGCGGACTTCAACTCCCAGAATCCCCCCACCACCCCCTCCGGCCCGGGGAATTCGGGGGGTTTCTTCTCACACCACCTCAGGTGTACAAAATTTAGAACAC